TCGGTTCCCCCAAGTGCTTTGATAGTAATACTGCACCTACGGACCTGAAAATTTTACTGGCAGACGCGCCTTAACCCACTACAGGTGCTAAAAATCTGCTTTCTCAAAATAAATGGTCAAATATCTTTCAAATATTTGCAAAACCACCCCAAAGTTAACACTTTGTCCTTTCTGGCCGGGTCGACCAACTGGCGCCGGCGGTGAACCGTCAACCTAGTCACCACCGGAAACCTCGTAGAGCTCCGTTCGCACGTAAGAGTGCTCAGAGTCAGAAAAGAGAGCTTCTGGAAGCATTTCTCGAAAAAGGGAAAATTGTTTTTTTTCATGTCGACATGAAGTTGGTTGCTCCAAGTGTTTTAATAGTAGAAGTGCGCCTACGGAGCTCATATTAAGACGCAGAGGCCCTCACAATCGTTTACAGGTGCGAAAAATCTGCTTTCTTAAAATACATGGTCAAATATCTTTCAAATATTCGCAAAACCACGGCAAAGTTGTCACTTTGTCCTTTCTGGTCGGGTCGACCAACTAGCTCCACCCCGCGCCGGAATTCCTCTAGCTCATCGATGCCGACGAGCTCTACGAGGTACTAGCTCTCCAGCGTCCCGGAATTACTCGTAAGCTTCCAGCAATAACATGCTAAGGGAAGCTCTACGAGTTATTTTGCACAAAGATAGAACTGGGCGCCGGCGGTAAACCGTCAACCTTTCTTACCGCCGGGGGACTCGTAGAGCTTCCTGACAATATAAAATGTTGAAACGAAAATTGCAGAGAACAATAGTTTTTCAGCCCAAGCGATTTCAGACCTCTCGATGCAACAGCCGAACGCCCCCGATGCTTCTGAATTGTCTTCTGCACGAGCTCTGTAGCTCTCCTACAGCCCGAGGTACGCGCGTAAATCGACAGCAACTCCCCAGATGACTCGAATAATAGGAATAGTTGGGCATACCTAGTTCGAGAATCAGACCGAGTTCAGTTCTCTGAATGCGACAGGCGGACGCGTCTGATGTTTCCGAATCGATACCTGTGATTACAAGCCCTGCGGCCCCTACAGCCCGAGTTAAGTGCAGAAAACCGACAGCACCTCTCAGGATGACTCGAAGAATACGAATAGTTTCGCGGACCTAGTTCGGGCAGCAGACCGAGTTCGGAGCTCTGGATTCGTCAGGCGGGCGCGCCTGATGTCTTCAAATCGATTCCTGTGACCACCAGTACTGTAGCCCCCCTAGAACGGGTTAAGCACAGAAAACCGACAGCATCTTTCAAGGTGACTCGAACACTACGAATAGTTTCGCGATTCTAGATCGGACAGCAGACCGAGTTCAGAGCTCTGAATTCGACAGACGAACGCGAATGATGATTCTGAACCCGTGTCTGTAAGTATCAACTCTGTAGCTGCCATATAGCTTGAGTTAAGTACAGAAAACCGAGAGCGCCTGTCAAGATGACTTGAATAATACGAATAGGTTTGCGGACCTAGCTCGGCTAGCAGACCGAGTTCAGAGCTCTGGATGCAACAGACGAACGCGCCTGATTATTCTGAATCGATGAGGTGTGCTTACCAGCTCTGTAGCTGTCCTGTATCTCGAGTTAAGTCCAATATACCGACAGCGCGTACCAAGATGACTCGAAACGGCCAATCCCGCCTGGACGCTTTTTGGCAATGAAAGGTACCCGATCGAGCTGAGATCAAGATGGCGAGCGGGAATAAGATCGAATATCACGGGAAAAAATACTAGAGCTCTAACGAATGGTTGAATTTCGAGAACAAAATCCGACCACAAGTCACCAAAAGGTCCGTCGAGATTTTTCTTGCCAACTAGCTCTCCAGCGCCCCGGAATTACTCTTAAGCTTCCAGCAACAACTTGCTAAGGGAAGCTCTACGAGTTATTTTCAACCGACCAAAAGTCAGCAAAAGGTCCGTCGAGATTTTTCTTGCCAACTGGGCGCCGGCGGTAAACCGTCAACCTTTCTTACCGCCGGGGGACTCGTAGAGCTTCCTCACAATATATAATGTGGAAAAGAGCAGAGAACGAATAGTTTTCAGCCCAAGCGATTTCAGACCTCTCGATGCAACAGCCGAACGCCCCCGATGCTTCTGGATTGTCTTCTTTACGAGCTCTGTAGCTCTCCTGCAGCCCGAGTTACGTGCGTAAATCGACAGCACCTCTCAAGATGACTCTAACAAAACGAATAGTTTGGCAACCCAGCTCGAGTATCAAACCGAGTTCAGACCTCTGAATGCGACAGGCGGACGCATCTGATGTCTGCGAATCGACTCCTGTGATTACCAGCCCTGCAGCCACCCTACAGCCCGAGTTACGTGCGTAAATCGACAGCACCTCTCATGATGACTCGAACCATTCAATAGTTTCGCAGACTAGTTCGGCCAGCGAGTTTCGAGCTCTGGATTCGACAGGCGACGCGCCTGATGTCCCCAAATCGATTCCTGTGACCACCAGCACTGTAGCCCCCCCCAGCACGAGTTGAGTGCAGAAAACTGAGAGCACTTCTCAAGATGGTTCAAACAATACGAATAGTTGCGCGAACTAGATCGAGCAGCAGACCGAGTTCAGAGCTCGCGATTCAACAGACAAATGCGACTGATGATTATGAATCCGTTTCTGTGAGTATGACCTCTGTAGCTGTCCTATAGCTCGAGTTAAGTACAGAAAACCGAGAGTGTCTGTCAAGATGGCCCAAATAATACGAATAGGTTTGCGGATCTAGCTCGGCTAGCGGACCGAGTTCAGACCTCTAGATTCAACAGGCGAACGCGCCTGATGATTCTGAATCGATTAGCTGTACTTACCAGCTCTGTAGCTGTCCTGAAGCTCGAGTTATCTTCAGAAAACCGCTATCGCGTATCAAGATGACTTGAAACGGCCGATCCCGCCTGCCTGCTTTTTGGCAGTAAAAGGTACCCGATCGAGCTGAGATCAAGATAACGAGCGGGAATAAGATCGAATATCATGGGAAAAATACTAGAGCTCTAACGAATGGTTGAATTTCGAGAACAAAATTTTCAACCGACCAAAAGTCACCAAAAGTTCCGTCGAGCTTTTTCTTGCCAACTAGCTCTCCAGCGCGCCGGAATTACTGGGAACCGGCGGTAAACCGTCAACCTGGTTTTTGTTGCGTCTTTTGCGAAGGCCGGTTCGAGCTCCCATGGGAGCAGGCCTAAACACAAAGAACCTAAACAGCGAAGCTGTACAGGAAGACAGCGAAGCTGCAAAGATTAAAGCAGAGGTGCATCAAACAGCGAAGCTGTACAGATATGCACAAGACTGCCAATACACTAGAATACAAAACGACAAAGATTATCAAAGAAGCTGTACAAGACAGCAAGAAGCAGTGAGAGACCATACAGTAACCACTGGTTTATACAGCGATTACCGTCTCAACACCACTGAGAAAGAAAACAAAACTAAGAGAACTGAGATAGCGAGTGCGCTTTGACACCATGCCTAAGTGAAACACGGACGTGTGAAACCATGTCTAAGTGAAACCTGGTGTCGACCAGATCAAAGGCCTACTTTGAGGCACCACGTGACCAATCACGGAAAGTCACGTTCAAAGGTCAATGAGCACTCAAATCAAGGAAGCAACGAATGACCTACTTTGAGGGATCAGGCGAAGCTCTTATTCAACACACGCGCATGCACGACAACACACACAGGCATGAAGAAAGGCACCGCAATGACAAATCAAGCGTGCAGGATCAATCACATGTGCATCATCTGTGCCGTTTCCGATGCTTCTTGCCGCTCCGCGTCAATGCACTCCTGGAAGTAGAACTCTGAGGACACCCTTGTTGCGAATCATCCTCCTCGGAACTTTCAATTCCCAAGTGCAGCCTGTACGCATTCAGAGCCTCAGTCCTACGCTGAAACTCCTGTGTCGGGAGTCGGTGTAGCTCAAGCCAAAGAGCCCTTACATCGACACCGGCAAGGGCCCAGTCCCTGGCAGCTTGGCACTCAGAGCGTGTCTCACTCGGTCGATCTGCAGAACTCCCATTCATGGAACTCCCTACTGCATCAGCTGAACTCCCAACTGCAGAACACCCAGCTGTTAAACTCCCAACTGCATCCTCCACTGCATCAGCGGAACTCCGAACTGTGGAACTTCCTACTGCACTCCCAAGTGCTGAACTCCCGACTGCACTGGAACTCCCGACTGCATCAACTGTACTCAAAACTGCGGTACTCTCCACCGCACTCCCGTTGGTCGCATGCAATTCTGAATTGCGCAACTTTGCACTCTCGATAGCCTCCGCTCGTTTGAAACAATATCCCTTCATTCTGAGAGAAGCATCACCCCGATCAACGTGCACTCGATGACACTCCTCCTTCTCCCCCTCACAACAAAGAGAACACAACGATCAGTCTGAGTCCCACACTCAATGTGAACACAGGGATCTGTCTGAGTCCCACAATCGGAACACTGCGAACACAAAGAGTTGCCAGCCAATTCAACAGCATCCATATCAGTCAGTGTTCCACAAGTGTCCTCAACCCATTTCTCTTCCTCAGAATCGTCCGAACAAAAAATCCGATAATATCTGGGCGCGCAAAGGCCCGCGCGAACAAGGCACGACGAATCTGGCCCCCGAGCCGTGGACCACAAACGATATCTGGCACGTTTCGCCCTCAGGCGGCGCAACTTCGATTGAGAAACTCGTAGAGGTCAGAGCTCCGGGAACCTCGTAGAGCTCCGTTCACGCGTGAGAGAGGTCAGAGTCGAAAGAGAGAGCTTCTGGAGGCATTTCTCGAAAAATTGAACATTCATTTTTTTAATGTCGAAATAATGTTGGTTGCTCCAAGTGTTTGGTAGTAAGAGTGCAGAGAGCTCATAGATCCAACTGGCAGAATAGAACTTGACGTCCCATGAGCGACCTTCGTCGTCGAGAAGCGTTAACGGGTCCAGCAGCTTCCAACAGATCCTGTGCAGGCTGATCATGAGCGCCGCAATGGGGTTCGTGCACGCGAGGGGCCCAGGTCGCAGCCGGGCGGCCCCGCGCCGCGCCCCCGCGAGCGGCCTGCCAGCAGCAGGCATTCCTGGCCGACCTCCTGGACCACCTCTTCTTGAGGCCCTCGGCGCCCTGCGGGCCCCTGCCGGGCCCGACGCGCACGCTCTTCTTCTTGGGCACCGCGGCGGGCGCAGGGCAGGCCTCGGGCTGCCCCTCGAGCGCCGCGCCCCGCGCGGGTGCCCCGCCAAGCTGGGCCGCGGGGCCGGGCGGCAGCGTACTGGAGAGGGGCTCGCTGAAGGCGGGGGCCGAGGAGGGCCTGAAAATCTCGGGGGCGCTGTTCGGGACGAGCGCCGAGCCCTCCGCGGGTGCCCCGCCAAGCTGGACCGCCGGGCCGGTCCGCGGCGTGCTGGAGAAGGCCTCGCTGAAGGCGGGGGCCGAGAAGGGCTTGAAATTCTCGGGGGCGCCGCGCGGGAAGATCACCTCCAGGGGCGGGGGCCCGCCGGCCGCGCGCGGCTCCACGTGGCGACCACAGGGGGGAGGGGGCCGCCCGCCTCCGCTGCAGCGCCGCCCTCCCAGGGGCCCAAGCCCCGCGCCCTGCGCACGGCAGCTTGAGCCAAAACCTCGTAGAGCTCTTTTCTTGCACAGCAGTCGTCGGAACACATGAAGAAAGCTTCTGGAGCGAGAAACGAAAAACTCGAAAAATCACGTTTTGCTGTTTTATTGAACGTCGGTTCCCCCAAGTGTTTTGATAGTAATACTGCACCTATGGGCATGAAAATTTTACTGGCGGACGCGCCATAACCCACTACAGGTGCGAAAAATCTGCTTTCTGAAAATGAACTGTCGAATATCCTCCAATTTTTTGCAAAACCACCTAAAAGTTACCACTGGGCGCCGGCGGTAAACCGTCAACCTTTCTTACCGCCGGGGGACTCGTAGAGCTTCCTGACAATATATAATGCCGAAAGAAAATTGCACAGAACGAATAGTTTTTCTGCCCAAGCGATTTCAGACCTCTCGATGCAAAAGCCGAACGCCCCCGATGCTTCTGGATTGTCTTCTGTTCGAATTCTCCGCTCTCCTACAGCCCAAGTTACGTGCGTAAATCGACAGCGTCTCTCAAGATAACTCGAAAAATACGAATCGTTTGGCAAACCTAGCTCGAGTATCGGACCCAGTTCAGACCTCTGAATGCGACATGCGGACTCGTCTGATGTCTCTGAATCGATTCCTGTGATTACCAGCCCTTCAGCCCCCAAACAGCCCGAGTTAAGTACAGAAACCCGACAGCACCTCTCAGGATGACTCGAACAATACGAATAGTTTCGCAGACCTAGTTCGGGCAACAGACCGAGTTCCGAGCTGGATTTGACAGACGGCGCGCCTGATCGATTTCTGTGACTACCAGCACTGTAGCCGCCCTACAGCCCGAGTTAAGTACAGAAAACCGACAGCACCTCTCAAGATGACTCGAACAATACGAATAGCTTTGTCATTCTAGATCGGGCAGCAAACCGAGTTCAGAGCTCTGGACTGAACAGACGAACGCGCCTGATCATTTTGAATCAGTTGTTCTAAGTATCAGCTCTGTAGCTGTCATATATCTCGAGTTCAGCACAGAAAACCGAGAGCGCCTGTCAAAATGACTCGAATAATACGAATAGGTTTGCGGACCTAGCTCGGCTAGGAGACCGAGTTCAGAGCTCTAGATGCAACAGACGAACACGCCTGATCATTCTGAATCGATAAGGTGTGCGTACCAGCTCTCTAGCTGTCCTCTATCTCGAGTTAAGTCCAATATACCGAGAGCGCGTATCAAAAGACTCGAAACGGCCGATCCCGCCTGGGCGCTTTTTGGCAGTAAAAGGTACCCGATCGAGCTGAGATCAAGATGGCGAGCGGGAATAAGATCGAATATTACGGAAAAAGTACGAGATCTCAAACGAATTGAGGAATTTCGAGAACAAAATTTTCAACCGACCAAAAGTCAGCAAAAGGTCCGTCGAGATTGTTCTTGCCAACTAGCTCTCCAGCGCCCCGGAATTACTCTTAACTTGCTAAGGGAAGCTCTACGAGTTACTTTGTCCTTTCTGGCCGGGTCGGCCAACTGGTCGCCAGCGGTAAACCGTCAACCTTTGTTTTTGCGGACTTTGCGGTCGACTGTGCAGGCTTTCCAGCCTAGTCGGAGCAAGGAGCGGGCGCATCGGGAGTAGGCGGAAGCCTCACCGATCCAAACGATCAGAGGCGAGCCAACTCTTATTAGGAGGATGAGAGGTCAAGCACACACACACGACAAACAAGGCAAGGCGTGAGCGCGCACAATCAAAATCACATCATATCCTGTCCGAAATACGCTTGTACAACCCGCGGCAAGATTATAATCGTATGCTCAACGGCCGAGATCTCGGCATCAGTCACTGTTGAAGTTGGATCAATCGAGAATGCCGCACTATACACCTCCGTCCATATAATCTCATGGCTGAGTGGCTGCCTTGAGAGCCTCGATATCCGTCCAACATCTATCCAGCACCCAACTCCCACGCCGTCGCAGGAGACGCCACCATCGAATCCAGCTCTGATGGCACAAACGCGAAACACCTGTTGTAACTGAGGGGCGTAAAGCCCTATCCTATCTCGAATCACTGGTGGCCCGACACGGGCCGCATGAGTGAGTACATCTGCACGCGTGTTCCATTCCCTATATGTGTGGTCGACAATTTCCCTCCCATGACAGGCAGGCCTAATTCCAAACCTCTGACACATGTTGTCAAGTTGGTTATCATTCTGTTGATCCTATCCTGATATGTACGATTAAGCACCCTCCAGACACCCTGAAGCCAAGACACCACCAGAAGACTGTCCCCAGAAATGTACACCGGGATCCCAAATGAGTCGAGGTCGTACTCAACCTCCTTCATATTTTGCAACGCAATACGTTTGGCCAGTTTGTCGTTGAAAGCCGCAGTGCCCTCTTGAGCCCCATAAGTGTGTAGGTCGTTTTGTGTGATAGTATGTACCTCCTGCAGGGCCCCACCTGTTGTACCGCACCCTTTTTCTTTTCTGAAAATAACTCAGCATCGTCCGTGTACACATGTGTTCGCAGAACCTTTGTTACCGCCAGGGGACTCGTAGAGCTTCCTGACAACATATAATGTCAAAAAAAATACACAGAAAAAATAATTTTTCAGCCCAAGCAATTTCAGACCTCTCGGATGCAACAGCCGAACGCCCCCGATGCTTCTGGATTGTCTTCTGTACGAGCTCTGTAGCTCTCCTACAGCCCGAGTTACGTGCGTAAATCGACAGCAACTCTCAAGATGACTCGAACAATACGAATAGTTCGGCAAACCTAGCCTGAGTATCAGACCGAGTTCAGACCTCTGCATGCGACAGGCGGACGCGTCTGATGTCTCTGAATGGATTCCTGTGATTACCAACCCTAAACCCCCCCTACAGCCCGAGTTAAGTGCAGGAAACCGACAGCACCTCTCAGGGTGACTCGAACAATACGAATAGTTTCGCAGACCTAGTTCAGGCAACAGACCGAGTTCAGAGCTCTGGATTCAACAGACAACGGCCACTGATGATTCTGAATCCGATTCTGTACATATCAGCTCTGTAGCTGTCCTGTAGCTCGAGTTAAGTACAGAAAACCGAGAGCGTCTGTCAAGATGACTCGAATAATACGAATAGGTTTGCGGACCTAGCTCGGCTAGTTCAGACCTCTGGGTTCAACAGCCGAACGCGCCTGATCATTCTGAATCGATTAGCTGTGCTTACCAGCTCTGTAGCTGTCCTGAAGCTCGAGTTATCTCGAGAACACCGCCATCGCGTACCAAGATGACTTGAAACGGCCGATCCCGCCTGCCTGCTTTTAGGCAGTAGAAGGTACCCGATCGAGCTGAGATCAAGACGGCGAGCGGGAATAAGATCGAATATCGGGAAAAATACTAGAGCCCTAACGAATGTTCAAATTGTGAGAACAAAAATTTCAAGCGACCAAAAGTCACAAAAAGGTCCATCGAGATTTTTCTTGCCAACTAGCTCTCCAGCGCCCCGGAATTACTCTTAAACTTCCAGCAACTGGGCGCCGGCGGTAAACCGTCAACCTTTCTTTTCGCCGGAAACTCGTAGAGCTTCCTGACGGTATATTTTGCGAAGAACAATTGCAGAGAACGAAAAGTTTTTAGCCCAAGCGATTTCAGACCTTTCGATGCAACAGCCGAACGCCCCTGATATTGGATTCTCTTCTATACGAGCTCTGGAGCTCTCCTACAGCCCGAGTTACGCGCGTAAATCGACAGCACCTCTCAAGATGACTCGAACAATACGAATAGTTCGGCAAACCTAGCTCGAGTATCAGACCGAGTTCAGACCTCTGAATGCAATAGTGGGACGCGTCTGTGACTCCGAATCGATTCCTGTGATTACCAGCCCTGCAGCCTCCCTGCAGCAGAAAACCGACAACACCTCTCAGAATGACTCCAACAATACGAATACGTTCGCAAACCTAAGCAGACCGAGCTCAGAGCTCTGGATTCGACAGGTGGACGCGCCTGAGGTCTCCGAATCGATTCCTGTGACCAGCACTGTAGCCCCCCAGAACCCGAGTTAAGTATAGAAAACCGACAGCACCTCTCAAGATGACTCGAACAATACGAACAGTTTCGCGATTCTAGAGCGACAGCAGACCGAGTTCAGAGCTCTGGATTCAACATACAACGCGACTAATATTCTGTAAGTATCAGCTCTGTAGCTGTCATATAGCTCGAGTTGAGTACCAAAAAAACCGAGAGTGCCTGTCGAGATAACTGAAATAATACGAATAGGTTTGCGGACATAGCTCGCAGACCGAGTTCAGACCTCTAGATGCAACAGGCGAACGCGCCTGATCATTCTGGATCGATTAGCTGTGCTTACCAGCTCTGTAGCTCTTCTATAGCTCAAGTTATGTTCAGAAAACCGTCACCGCGTGTCGAGATATGCCGAAACGGCCTATCCCGACTGGACGCTTTTTGGCATTAAAAGGTACCTGATCGAGCTGAGATCAAGATGACCAGCAGGAATAAGATCAAATATCACGGGATAAAATACTAGAGCTCTAACGAATGTTCAAATTTTCAGAACAAAATTTTCAACCGACCAAAAGTCATCAAAAGGTCCGTCGAGATTTTTCTTGCCAACTAGCTCTCCAGCGCTCCGGAACTGGGAGGCGGCGGAAACCGTCAACCAGGTTACCACCGCCAGCCTCGTACAGCTCTTTTCTCGCACGGCGCTGCTTAGAACAC